CGTTTTTCTATTACATTGAAGACCACATGCAAAAATTCAAGCCCTTTCGTGAAAATTGTTTTTTCACCCAAATCGTCACTTAGCATGGTTTTGCACTCACCCCTTCAATTATAATCATATCATTCTATAACAAAATTCTCAATTGTGATTGGTTCTCCGCATGCCTATTTCCCACATAATCAGTGCGCAATCACGTGGGTGTCCAAGTACAGGTATCGAATTTGAACTTTTTGTAATTGGATAAATTTGTTATAGATTAAGATACGATTAATTTGTAATTGGACCTCGTGTCGTACAATTCAGGGAGTAGAGGTAATCGTGCTTGTGAAGTGTAATAATTTTCAAATCAGCCTCACGCTTCGTGCTCGTCCAATAGTGAAATTACTTGCGCGATTACTACCTGAGTTGTACTCCACTCTGTCCAATTACTCTTACTACAGGCTGTAAATGTAACTTTGACATGTGAAATTACAATGTACAGTAGGCATACAAGTGAGTGATGAGGGTTTTAAATTTCTAGTATGAAACATAAAGGCTAAAAAGCATTTTGACATGAGCTGATACGTGTACATGTACATGTAAGAAGTGAATTAAGGTGGTGGGGGTGGGGGTGGGGAGTTGATTATAACTGGAGCAAATGCTCGAGGACAGAGGAACCTAAGTGTGTGTGTGTACTCCTTTAGGAAGATCCACATTAAGATTATGATCTAATAGATCATGTAGATTATGGTGCGCCAAAGAAACTAAAAAATCCAATGAATTCACCCTTACAGTGTAATTTCAGAGTATGGGAAACAAGGGGAGTAGAAAGGCAGGGAAGGGAGAGGGGCTTAAAGCTGAGAATCCTGTTTTAAAATATGGTTGGCAATGAGCCACAAAAATCTTGCCCTATTCACAGGGTGGCCATACTAAAGTAAAGGGGTTTTCCTAGTACGAAAAAAATGACTGACTGAGTTCTTGTTCCAGCCAGAATAAAGTGGCTGCAAAATCAAGGTGGCCATATAAATAGGGTGGTCATAAGGCAGGGTTCTGCTGTACATTTATCAAGAGTAAAAATGATAACCTTCAGGAATTTTATCGTACCGTTAAAGATCTTTTTGCTTTTCTCTGGATCATTCTCATACAAAGAACAAAGATGCTCAAGTAGAGAAACTAACAGCAGATAGTTAGGCACCCTTCCCTCCAAAGCCTGGACACTGGTAGAAGGATCATCATTTGGGACATATGTGTCTGTGAGATCTGCATCTGTCAACAATAACACATCACATCAAAAAGACATCACAGGCCATTTATTCATAGGGTGGATAATGCTGTCCAGTGAATAAATCGCTCTCTGTTGGATAAGTGTTCATGAAACAAACTAAGCTGTCCATTGGATATTGATAAACAGTACTAGATGGATAGTGTTATCTACATGTACCCATTGAACTACCATGGCCAAGTACTGAGAGATTTAATGTCATATTAATAATGTAAGGTAAGGGAGAGTACATTGTTGATACAGTTGAGGAATATCCCAATTTCCATAGGACAAGGCCTCTAAGAGTACAAGTACTACCTCTTGCCCTGATGAGCTGATAATAGTGCTGTAGACTATTGCAAGCAAGCAGGCAGGTATTTACTGTAAGTCTGAGGCTTCCCTGGCCTTACAACTTGCAAGTAATCAATTCTATTATATGGCTACAATGCATGGGTGACAAAAGTAGTTGAGACACTAGCTTTTAGAAAATGACACTTTTCAATATGTTTTAACATCTAATAGTGTCATTCTCTAAAAGTGAACACCTCTTATTAATTGTTTGTAGCATGAATTTTCTGATACCCCCTACCCCCGATTCGATGTTGTGTAGGTGCAGTGATCTCTGTAGTGATCTGTGAAAATTGACTACTACATGCATGCACATCGCCAACATTCATTTCCCTCTCTGTAATATGTTGTAGTTTAATTGATGATCTATATTTAATATGCATCTATGTACACATCAAATGTTGATTAATGTAGATACATGAGGCAAGGAGCTAACTACAAAACCGAACGTGACCCAAATAACAATCTTAAGCTAATATATATATTAACCTACAATTTTTTATTAGCTCAAAGTGTTACATTGATTTTATATACATGTACATGTATATCCATCTGAAACCATTTATCCGTCTCAGGCAGTCGAATTTTTCTGTCTTAAAAGGCCAATTTGTACATAGCATATATTCGGCCATTTTCATACCTACGCATACACACATTGCTTCCTGTCAAAATACCCTGCCATGAAATTTTGCTTTACTTGCAATTTTTTATCGATGCCTGATGCAACAATAAACCAGTGCTTGCAAATGATCGTCCAGATGACACAGTTTTAAGCTTTAGTAACGGTATCAAACATATCTAACACAGCAAAACAATCTGCAAACCAAAAGAATAACAAGATACAATGTATTAGCGCTTAAAATTCAATTTACCTTGAAACTCGGTCAAGCGGGGAGGTAGGCGAGGAGCCTCTAATTTCGAACGCGTCCACTTTGACCTTGTGTTCCATGCCATGGCGTCACGAACTCAGAACGCACGTGGACATTACTCCTCCGATTTTAACAAAGCAGGAGGAAACCATCGAGCTTTGATGAGCGATTACCACTGGAAACGTTGCGCTATAGAACCTTCCTGAAAACTATGCGGCCATGTTTCACATGACATGTCATCGTACATGTCATCGCCAGACTTCTTCGGGTGGTTACCAAGCCTGCTTGGCAAGATGGCGACCGCCATGTGCAACGCGGCGAGGTACGTTCTGATCAGAAAGTTTAATTTCGAGGGGGCGAAAAAACGATTATTTCATTCATTTGGAATCAAGGATGCCTTAGTGAAGAGGCTGGCTAACTTACGAATCGAAAAACCGACAGCAATTCAAGAAAAGGTAAGTTATGTCTAAAACACGTGTTGCATCCGGTTGTATGCACACTTGTCATAATGATTTGAGATTCGAACAAGGCGTCACAAAACCAAAACTTTTTGCGTTACAACAAAGTGTAAAAATCATTGCTCAAGGTGTCACAAATTATCACAAGGTTGTATCAACATAGCCTTGCACTATATATATATCATTACATATATAAAGACATTAGTTTTAACTTACATGTACTGTGCAGCTCAGATATATCCGAACCAAAATATACGCGTAATTCGCGTCAGCCCAGTACGCGTATACGCGTATGGATATACGCACATACGCGTATGCATATACGTACATACGCGTATACAATATATACGCGTATGTCTGATTAGTATGTATGAGCTAACCTATTGTTT